GAATTATAATTTATAAATTATAGTTAAGCATAGGATTTTTAATGAAATTATAATTAACTACAATATATTTCTTCATAAAATCATTAAAATATATTAATTTAATATATATACACCTCATTGAGATCTTATATTTAATGTTATTGATGCATTTTTATGATTTATTAAACTATTTATAATGTTTCCAAGTATATCTATGCGTATCTTAATTTTTCTCTGATACGCATACGTATCTAAGACGTATCTTAATACATTTATTAAAATTGTCTTTCCGATACACTTAATGTTTTTCGATACTTTGAACCTTAGATCCAACTAAGCCTGCGCTGAGATTTTGAGACCTACTGACTCAAAGTTAAAACCGGATCTTTATTTGGAGCCTTTGTTCTTCCTTTGGAAAGGGAAATCTGACGGGAGTGTTTGCTAGATAAGTAGATATCAAAACTTATGAGTTAGGACTTGGGTGCACATCTTGGGAGGGTATTTATTTATTTTTTGATAGATGGGGAGGGTATTTATCTGAGTTCCTTAATTCTTTTTTGATGGATTATTCATTTGAGGCCCTTAATTTGGGCATCGAATAAAATCGTGGAGTATTTGCCGTTTCTTAACCTTATTTTCGACATCATATGATATTGGTCATTCAATGGTTAGTTGGATACTAAGAATGTGTGAATTCATTTATTGGAGATTGTTTACTCGTGGGCAAATGAGGCGATCCCACGTCAAAGGTCAAAGGCTGGTCTGTGAGCAAGAAATACAGAATACAGTTCTAGTTGAAGCTTGAGTCCGATCTAATCTTGATGAGGCACTTTGTTTCTTGTTCACGATTGAGTTTGCCTTTTGCTCTTTATCTTTATCAAATTAGAAAAAGAAAACAAAAAACGATTCGGAAAGAACCACTTTTTTCCTCCGATTTGGTTTATTTGTGGGTAAGTGGACAATGGTTTAATAAAAAAGAAAATTCCCAATTTGTATCATGTAATTTGGGCTTAGTGTCACTTTGATCTTCGAATTTTAAAACGTGATAATTTAGTATCTGAACTTTCAAAATGTGTAAATCCAGTATCTGTCGGTAATTTAAGTGACATTTGAAAATACACAAATGCCCTTTAAGTATCATCTAATTTTCTTTATCAAACATTCAAATGTTATAAAAATGAACAGTCTCAAATCCTTGTATTTTCTATTCAAGAAAGTTGGGGTTACATCTCAATGGGCATTCTGATGACCCCAACTTTATTAAAGAAAAGAGACAAGGATTTTGTACTATTCATTTTTTGTCAATGTTTAGATGGTTGATAAAGAAAATTAGATGACATTATAAGGGTATGTGTCTTTTCAAATGACACTTAACAGCTATAAGGGTATGTATCTTTTCAAATGACACTTAACGGCTGATTAATGACAGATATTAGAACCTAAAAAATTGTCTTTTATACTAATCTGAACACATAGAAAATGCTTTAACAATGCAAGATAGAAAGCAGAAGGATCAATTGGTTTGTAATTATTTCCCCATTCTATACAACCATAAGGGCATCGACAAACAGATGAGAAACTGAGAAAATCGATCATGAGAAGCAAGAAAATGTCGAAGACAAAGAAGCCATGGGGGAGGCTCAGTAAGGGGGTGTGGCAACCACGTTGCCGAATACCCCCTAAAAGTATCGAGAAAGAGAATCTGGAGACATTGGCTGGCTGAGAATGGTTTGTAAATTGTTACAGTCAGATTCGAGAACTACATTCCTTTTATTCAAGCGCTTAGCTAAACACAGACCCAGAATAACCGAAAATCTACCTTTGCTTACAACCTTGACAACCAAAGAAGGTGAAACCCCTTTCTCTTTCTATTTCTCTCAAGGTTTTCTAAGGAGGAAAGAAAAGAACAAAAACAGTGCAAGAGATAGGGACTGAAATGTTGGATCCGTCATGACTCCTCTGTTTTGGTTATCTGAGTGAACTCTGCCTTTTTGGTCGTCATCACTATTTCCATGGCCAAACTTCTGGTCGTCGATTGTTGTCTCCATTTCTGTGATTGAATTTTTGTTTTTAGGAGTTAGGACATGCATGCAAATTTATTTTTGTTGAATATTTATTTATCTTTTAATCTTTCATTGTTGTCGGGGTCAAACGATTTGATGGTTTGAATGCCCAGATCAATCAATGGTTTGTTGATTAATTCAATGATTTTTTTTTTTGAATTAGGAATGACCCTGTACTAAGTACGGGTATTTATTTTGAATTATTTCAATTTTTAAATTATTTATATTAGATATTTAGGTTAGGCTTTTTATTTGATTCAAGATACTTACCATGTTTTATCTAGAGAATGACCCCATACTAAGAGATAACTACATATCATTTAATTTGAAATTTACCTTTTAACTATAAAAAATTAAATTAGAAAAATTAACATGGGTCTTACATCTTTGTAATTGGCAATCTATTCTGACCTATTTTGTTTGAAAATCACTATTAATTTATGTTATTTTTAATATGATTTAAGAGATTAAATGAGGCCTTATTTGTAAGCAGCAACCCACTTTAATTGGTATTTACTATTTATTTGATAAATTTATTTTTAAAAGCTAAATTAGGTTACGCTTTCAAAAAAAGTTAAATCTAATTTGCAATTAATAAATTATTTATCTAAAAGAATGAAACTCACACCATTTTGTATTAATTGTTTAGTTATTTTTATGAATTTCATTTATTTTTATTTTTATCCATTTAATATTTTGAATATTTTTAAGTTAAATGATTTGTTTAATCGTTACTCTTGAAATGGTTGTATTTAAATAAAATTCAGTTACTAAGATAACATTTGAAATGGCCACTTTTTAGGGATTAGGACTCTGCACGTTTGAATTTTAAGAGAGTAGTTATCACTTTGTTGTGACTGGATAGACTTTTTTAAGAGTGAGATTTTATTGTCTTCTAAGATACTATCTGTTGAAATTTTACAATGCTACGTGTGGAATTTTAAGAGAGTAGTTATCACTTTTTTGTGAGTAGATAGACTTTTTTAAGAGTGAGAGTTTAAGCTCTTCTAAGATCCTATCTATTGAAATTTTACAATGCCACGTGTTTGAAGGGTGGGGGCTATTGCCTAAAGACCTTCTTTTAATATATAATACTAGAGAAGACCTCGTACTAAGTAGGGGCTAGTATTTTTTGATAATTTTTATTTTGTTTAAGCAAAAAATGTCTAACATTTTATTATCATTTCTTTATTTTTAAAAGATTATTTGTATTGTAATATTTAGTTAATTAATTATTGTTGATATTATTAAGTATTTAATTAATGATTTTATTATCATAATAATTATTATAATTAAAATATTTACTATAAAAATTTAAAGATTAATCAAAATGTAATATTTACTTAATTATTTAATTAAAGATTAATATTATTTTTAATTAGTAATGGTGA